CTCACTGGTAAGCGCCGGCCACTTCATCTCTCAATGACATGCTGTCACTATCGTTTAAATTAAGTTGAATAATGGTCATGTTTCTCAAAAGATGTAGTCGAGTGAATCTCCATGATTTCTACTAGGGAAGAAGTAGCTGCTTTTCATCTTTTAGTAAAATTCAAGAATGCAATATTGCGTAATTTATTTTTCTATAGTTACCTAAATAACGAACGAACGTCGAATTAAGAGGAAAAGGACAAAAAAGCGTATCTGAGCATGGTCGCTATGTTGGTGTAGTGGCTGCTAAAATCCCAGTTATGACGAGATTCACATATTCAGGATGTTTCAGTCATATGTAATCAATTCAATCTCTCACCAAAAAATCATTAAAGAAAAAAAATCTGCCCATCTAAAGCCGGTCAAATTAAGTTACGTCTCTGTTAGCTTGATTGCATCCTGTATTTCGTTTACAAGGGCTTTTACCTCAGCACTAGAAAAGATTCGGCAACAACACAATGCAGAAGAATCTTCTCTTTCGAAAAAATCTTCCGCAATGTGGGCAACACAGACGTGGTAAGGTCAGCTTTCAAAAGTGCTGCGCCCATAATCCAACTGTCGAAACTGGAGCTCTGACCGACGATCGCTGTATTCAACTCCAGTATCTTCGTCCGTCCTTCCAGAACATAGTCAACTACTCGTCTTTAATTGCAGTCGAGAAGCAGTAGTGCGACTGCCTTTATGTGAGCCCTTTCTTCTGGCTTATCTGGAAAGGCGTCCGCAATGATTTTTGACCAAGTTTGGAAATCAGGGCTGGCGGAAAGATCTTTCTTTGCCTTGTCAGCGTGGGTATTCATTAGTAGTATGGCAGCTGCTTCATACTTATCAGAGGCTTCTCCCAAGTAAATATGAGCTCTCTTCTACCCTCCCGTTTAGATGACAGTATTGGATGAACAGCATCATCGTTAACCAGATTCTTCGTGATGCTGGTATCCAGAAGTTTACCTTCTAATCACTCACCGAAGTTCTTGTAGCTTCTCCAACGGATTCCTTTTGGGTCACCGTTTAATGTCTGCAAATATTTTCTATATTTGAACAGCGCGTCGTCAAGACGAACAGCAAATTCTTTTTGAACACCCTTAGCGTTGACGAGTAACTGTATCAGCGCGTTTTCGGTGGCATCGTTGATAGGTAATTCACGTTTGACAATCCGAGCTGACAGAATGGAGTTGATTAGTAAGTCCGGTTCGTGTTCCGCCAGTACCGCCACCGTAAGCTGTACCACTCTTTTGAAATCGTTCGGAAAGGCTTTGTGTGAATAATCCGTCCACTGGAAAAACCTATCATTTTTAAAGAGATTCTCCGTCACCTTGCCAACACCCACTTTTTAAAATACCTTGTAGGCTGCTTCCACTTTGTCAGGAGCGTGTTTCAAGTAGGTACTTGGACTAAAGAACCTCATGACCCAGATGATGCGACTTAAGGCATAGTTTGCACAACCGACAACACGTACTGGTATGAGCAGAATCATGAGATGAGGTGCGTTTGTTCTCATAGCACAAATTGTTTAGATCGTCAGCGTGAGTGCATAGTGGATTATGGCATTATCACTGCTCATAGGGAGTTTGTTGTTGTCAAAACGCAGGTAGAGCGTAACCGGTAAAAAGTGCACTTGAGGTGTATGTAGCGGAATTGGTAAGATGCAATTGTACAATTGTACAATTGTACGTCCACAGTTGTAACATTTTTTATACTGAACGATTTTCATTACATTTGTCGGAATACCGAAGTATTGTTATTCGGGATAAACTCTAGGAGTAAAATTTTTCCATATCTTTCACAAGATAAAAAGGCTGTGCTGTAGTGTCCGGGCATCAAAGTGGAAATACGCTTTACGCTGTCGGATCGGTTATTACCTACTTTCGTACATGTCATGAACCTACCAACGCGCATCAACTCGGTCGTAATCGATGCACAACCAAACTGAGCGAGATCGACAAAACTCTGCCCACTGAATGGATTCGCATCATCGCTGAGCTTACTCCATCTGCATTCGTCTATTAGAACCTGCACATCACTGGCACCGCTGACATCAGTATTCTTGTAGCCCCATTAAGGAAGTTGAGGCCGAATATTATCATATCGCTGCTGAGCTGAACTCAAAATATACGACAAGAAGGTACGTTCGTGATGTCGGTGACCCGAGGACGTCTCTACGGCTAGACAGACTAAAGCACGAGTGCGATGGTTATCTTTGTAGTGAAGTTTCGCTGCATTACATGAAAGCAATTGACCAAAGAGAAATCTGCACAATTATTCATGTAATAATATCACGCATTGCTAACTAAATTATCTCCAATTAAGACAATTACACAACAATGTCATCAACTACAATCGAATGTGAGACGGCAACGCAGGCGGCGTTCGCAAGATAGAGCAAGACGTCCATGTTTCTCTTCAACTAATACAATTCCGCTCCTCAAGCGGTGAAAAAGCTTGACAAATGTTTTAACTCGTCTAAACGTTTATTATCTATATATCCGTCAGCATCGAGATAGTATCAAGTATCCTACTTGACAGCACGCAGGAACGAAACTGTTCAAGTATAAATGAGTTTACCCGCTGGACTGCAAGGCAGATATTCTGCCAACTCGATCAACAACGAGTCACATAAAGGCACCATATCACGGTCGATTAACCATTGCTTCATATCTAGCGCAATCACACCAAACCTGTTGTCTTGGACAATACGGGCTTGAATAATGCCTTGCTTGCGAAACGTTTCATTTTGCACCAAGATGAGGGCATCTGTCACTTGAGAGTGCGCAAGAAGTACTTTCTCGATCTTGTCGGGTGAGAATTTCATGCGCTGCCCCTGCCACTCGATTTCGACTTCAGGACGAAGTCGACCATAGAGCCAAATATGATCAATTTTGTTTTCGTATCGAATGATGATCCCAAGATCAGACGAATGATAGGCTTCATAAAACCGGTGCAGCATGCAATTCGCAACGTACCCGACTGACTGCCATGGGGTCTTTATTACAATTTCCCCCTCGTCGGTAATTTGCGATTCTACTCCAGGCCATAAACTGCCAACATATTGCACATTTTCGTTGCTATCCATATTTTTTATCTCTGTGTCAAGAGTTGTTCCATTCAAGATCCAAGCTGCTATATTACCCGTTTCAGTCGACCCGTAATTTTGCATTAGAATCAATCCAAAGTCATCACGCATTTTCTGAAACAGTGGAATACAGACACGAGCGCCTGCGCAATATGAAACGTCAGCATATAGCGGAGTTGGGGGCATCATGGCCAGTGCGGTGTATATCCCAGGTGTTGCATAGAGCACCTTGAAGAGGCCACTGTGCTGCGCGAGAAGTTTGTAAATTCCCACGGCGCTGGAGGAAAAGCAAAGTTCCGACTGTGCATCGCAGGGGGATGTGTACAGAGCAAAGATAGTATTGATTGCGAAGGCATGAGATATTGACGTGCTACAAATAATGCGTGCTGAACGTTTAGGAAAAAGCTGCTGATGTGTGGATTCGCCTTGTAAAAGCATGCGGTTCCATGTACAAAGCACGACTTTAGGAGTGCCGACACTGCCAGACGTGAGTAGACAGACGCAGCCCTTACTGATAATCTCTTCGTCTCGAATCCACAAATTGGCTGCAGCATTATTTGTTGGGTCTGTCGCTTTAACATCATCCTCGACGATCACGGACTCGGTTGTGTCGTCGACCATAAGTACTCTAGTGATTCCAGTGTGGGTCTTTACGTATTTGATAAGATTCATGCGGTTCTTGCTTACAAGAGTGCAAATACACTGTAGGATCATTGCTCCAAGTATACAGGCCACGCTAGTGCGATCATTGTCTACCACAAGGATGAATGCATCGCCACTTCGAATGCCGGCGCGGCGCAACACAGTCAGACCTAGCGGCTGAAGTTTCGCTTTTAAACCACCTCTTATAGTTTGTATGGACTCATCTGCGGCCTGTAATTGAGGTGAAGAGGCCGGACGTCCGTCAGTGCCGAAAAGCGTAAGCTCGCCATACTTGACGCCAAGATGCATTATGCTTTATTCCCTTGATTTGATGTAGCGTACACATGAATTTGGGTAAACACAGAAATCACAGAGGCAGAGCTTGAAAAGAATGCTTATCAAAGTACCACGCGATTAATAGAGAAGAAAAAAGTCTGGTAGTGCATTAAAGCATTGAATATGGTCATAATAAATAAGATTTGAGGGCGGCAGATTAGGAAGGTAATGAGAAGAAGAAAAGGCCGGGGAGGAATTTAGCGGCGAGATTACCAAAAAGGAAACATATAATATCGGCAAAATTCAGAAATAGTGTTGACACATCTAAAACAAATGATTATGGAGGCAAACACATCAAGTCCAATGGCAATAAACCTGGATGGAAAGAAAAAGTTATCATTATGAGTCAAAAGTAGGCCTGTAATTTGAACTGTTTCGGACAAAGAAGGATGATTGAACCTCAGCTAAATGAGGAAGATTTAATCTATATGTGTTAGTTTTGCTCATCAATACTTGGAACGACAGTAAAGCGCATTGCGAGCTCCATATTTGTTTGTGAGACTGTGATAACATTTCTCTGTGCCCCACACAGCTATTATAATTTGCTGATAATTTCTTTTTGGAAATCTTCGCGAAGTTTATGTGATTGGCCGCGGTGACGACTAGCAGTAACGGGAGCGAGCAGCTCGACTCCGTGCTGCACCATTTATTCCTGGTATCGCCAGATACGAAGACGTTGATCATCGACGCTGACAAATATTCTGGGTAAGTTAGCGCTTTGTTTATCGTACATGTGTGTGCAGTCATACCTCTCCAGGTATAATACCCCCTTGATCCTCAGTACATCAATTTAGGATGAAAATCACTGTGATCCTCCCGTAGACAGCAGCGGCAGCGCTTCACATAACCCATGAACGATTTATTAACTCGTTAACACTCCATTAATCTTTCTTTGCAAAATTCTTTTTCTAATGTCATCTGAGGCTAATTGATTAAATTTGATTTTGATGCACGCCAACAACCCATATGACAAATTGAAATCAATGGCTTTCACGTGACAAAATTCATTTCTAAACGAAGCCTAGCAAGCTTGGCCTTGAGGCGGCCAAAATACCGCTCGGTAGCGTTGGTGATTTCATTTAATATCTGTACACGAATTCGATCACACATGTTTGGCGTAGCTAAACAATAGACTATTGTAATGTCACCTGGCTGATACCACGAGACGAATGACAGCTACTTGAGGTGTGCACCATTTTTTGTGCGATAGTGCAATCAAGTGCACATTCTTTCATGTGCCAGCATACAACGTTAGTATGCAGGTCGCAACGTATCGTCACTTTTTTTCGCTCCATCAGAAGCAACCTCTGAAGACCCTAACTCATCGCTGTTAATTTCTGACTCACAATATTCAGTCGCTGGCTCTCTTTTTCGCAAATCATACTCTGAATACCGCGACATACGACCGCTAATCCCCGTCACAGCAGAGATACACCCCGGAGACTGCAGCTCTGAACCCTCGCAAAATTTCTGCGAATTCCAAATTAATCCCATGGTATGCGTTAAAGCTGTCGTAGGTTTTATGCACTCACCGAAAGCAGTTGATAATGAAGATGATATCTCAATCTTGCCTTGACTTCGAGATTTAATCTCTTTTAGGTATGTCATGGCTTTAACGCCATGAGCCATGGATTGGCAAATCGTCGAAATGCTAGATGCACGATGGGTGCAGCGAGGCTACCGTAGCTCTTTGCTGAGAGAAAGCTAAGCTGAGGTCACCGACCTTACGTTCTATACAAGAACCAGTACGAGTGTAGCAAATAGCAATCCGCTACCTCCAAGAATACTTAAAAACCTCAACCAAGGCAAAGACGCTCTTCCGTTCAGAATTGAAAATGTATCTAATTATTTATTTGCGGTAGAGCCGCCTATATCTAAAACTTTACGACATTCTATTCAGATAGTAAAACCTTATTAATATACATAACTACTGGCAGACCTGCCACGTAGTGGCTTTTTGTTACGGCGTAGACTCACCATTGTGTGATTACATCAACTTGTGTGATTCACACCTTTGTACAGTCACACCATCTTGTGTGACCCACTCTTTCATACAAGGTACATGTAAACCTGTTACAGTGGGGGCATGTCAAATTGTATACTCACCTTTGCTCGGAAGCAGACGCGCTTTGGGTGCAAGCACGAAGCTCTGAGCTTGTTGACGCAGAACATGAAATCGTTGCCGAGTGCCCTACGCAAAGCACCAAAAGAAGAGCGGCTGTGAGTTATATTTTCACGATGATACTAGCACTAGCGATCTTAAGAGCATATTCTCAGTTTTTTCTCTTCTCAATTGATGGGAGAGACGACATGTCTTGTTTCTGTAAGTATGTCTTCTCCTATTCAGTTGGTGCATCTATAAGCCGGTACCTCTTTTGTCAAAGCCGGTTATGACAAGTAAGAGCAGCTGCGTGTCGTGATGGATAGTACGGGAGTCGGTGGGGACGGAGGGCTGTAGGTCACACGCATAAGGTCCTGACCATAACGCCAACACTCGGAATCCATTTTTGTCGTGGTAAAATGGTACTGCTGTATCAGCACTAGCGTGTAACGCTGTAACCGTGCAAAAATATAAGTATAGCAGATTAGTGATAAGAAACTTTATTCAGTCTCTTAAAGAAGCTCGCTGAACTAATGATTTATTTCAAGGGATGTTTCTGTGAGTTGCAAGACGGTGAAATCAAATTGTATAATCGATATGGGCAGAGGAGATCTGCGCTTTTTAAAGGATCGTTTCGCAAGGAGTGAAATGTTTGTCTATCAACCCTAGCCCTCTACACGTGCTCTCCTCGGATTTGAGTATGCAGCAATTATTTCCTCAGGATTTTTTCACTTACTAAGTACTGATTCTGAAGGAGATGGCCCCGGTTCAGGAAGGCGTTTGAGTCACAGAAACCTCGTACGTCGCTTTTTTTACGAGCACGTCGTTCTTCTATTGCAGAAAACCACCAAGATTAGTAGCGTGGAGCGTGAAGCAGGCTTTGTTAAAAAGTAAAATGTCCTTTTGATATTGACTTTCTGCGTCGGAAAGGTCAAGTAAACTAGCATATCGAGCATACTTATGAAAAGTTGAATACAGCAATTATTTACGAACGACCACTAAGTGATGGGGTTTGCTGCAGGACAACATGACCAATCGTACCTTGCTCAGTGTTCGTGACTTGGTTGAACATTATGATTGACTGATCATAAGAGATGATGTTGTCACTGCCAGTGCGCTAATATTTTTGTGTTGGATGCTATGTAAGTGGCTGATCATGCCCCAGGGATTGCCTAGCGCACCAGCAATGTTTAAAAACCTGGCGACGCAGCCTTTGGGTCATATCGTGCCGAAAAACAGCATTGCAAACGTAAGGTTTGCGAACGGACCGGCAAAGATCAGAGCCAAAGGAAATTGACCAGTACCTCGACCCCGATTAGAATCAAGCCCCGGCCAGCAGCATAAGTAAAGTGCAAGACATGAAAACATGGTGTGATTCCTGATCATGTTTGTGAAACATAGTTTCACAAACAGTGCTGAGTGCGGCATGATAGACGATTCTCAAGTCCTATGCGTATCCTAATTGACCCGTTTGAATCGAAGAGGGTATTTTGTGCTGTATACAACGCTTCAGTCTATGCCAATCAGAATCTGATGCGCATAAAAAAGTATTTGTCTGAACTTCACCAGCTGAACGGAACAAAGAACAACTACTCAGCTACATTAAGGATTCTCTGGCAATAAAATTAATGTTTTTGTCAAGTTTAAAAGCACCCGCCTAGCTCTCATCTGTCCCTTATGCAGATACTGTGCCATCATCTTATCGCTAACTCAGAACGACTAGACGTCTTTTCCTCGTCGTCGAGCCCACCTTTAAGGTACGGAAACGGCCGGGCCGGACATGCCTTCGCATCATATGAAATATCGGTTTCACAGTGATCGCTTTGCCAATTGATGAGGCAATACGTAATACGTTCGCGTCGGATGTAACTTTGGTAAGCGATGCTTATTATAGAATTAAGGCTACTTAATCGAAGCCTTCGGGTGCACGTTTGCACAGTTATTCCTTATTCGATGTCTTGCCGAATTGCTGAATTGCTAACTTGACAATAAAAGTGCATATGACGAGTTTCTCAAGCACAGACCGCTGTACAAGGCAAACGATGCCCGCTGTACAAGGCAAACGATGCCCCATTTAGTGAGCACCTCGAATAAAAACATATAGTTCAGTGAGTACAATAGTATAAACGTATTGGCTATTTTTTGAGTTTGCAAAATGTGTGAAGAGTGTCAACCGGTTTATCTTTAGCCGTGCTTTTACCAGCTCGCTGGTTTCTGTAGACGGATGGCAGTCCATATGTGGACTTTTTTTTTCTATTCAAAGGCTTATCCGGTAATACCGGTATGGTAATCTATTGAACTATCGAAATAAAAAGGCTTACCTTGCCGTATCGGCGAGATTGCTGGAGGTATGGATACAGACAAGCTGTTCTTCGACAAAGTTTTTCGTCAACTTTTTTTGATGAGAGCCATTGTACTGGATAAAATTCACAATTCACGTTTACTAGAAGTCTGACGGACATTGCTTATAGGGCTTGGCTCCAGATTATACATGTCCGCCGCCGACAATCCGCAGTCCGACGAATATATAGAACGCGTTAATTGCGCGTAGGTGGATACTCTCTGTAGCTCTTATACATGTGCGGGGGCAAAATGTTCTCACTGGTTGAGCCAGTGCTGGCCGTGGTGGTATCTTAGTTTGAGGCGTGCTTCGCTTCTTATGGTTGGTTTGGCAAGCTGACGTCTTTCTTTGACACCGTCGCGAGGTGGATCCAGTGATGAAGCGTCGATACATCTCAAATCTTGGTGCTAGCTCGGCTACACTTCCGAGGAAATCGAAAAATGATGGGATTGAGCGCAAGCGCCGAGTGTACGACCATATGAATGAAAGCCAGGATTTGTCAAAGACACCATGATAACGCCAGAAGCCCATCAAGTTTTGTAGATGATAACTTCTAATTACCTACCTGTCTGCAGGCCTTAAGCCTTAGTTGCATCTACGCTGCAATAGACCGTGAACGGTCATTGCTCAAACCAGTATAAGAAACATTTTAAACACTCTAAAAAGAATGTGAACACATCCTGCGTTCCCGGCGAGCTTTCTAAATCCAGCTCACACTCTCGATCTTACAAGCCAGCCAGTCGGGATGCGCTCTGTTGGAATTGAAGCAAAGTCAAAACTACCGCCTGTAGCTGAGATACCTCATGCGCTGGGAGAGAAAAAAGAAAGAATATCTGCCAATTATAATGGTTGTCCCAAGTCGCTCATTGTGGTAGTGAAGCTTCGGGAGTGCATCTAAAAGCTGACTCACACCACTTTGAGGTGCATGTCAAGGCTATCAGACAGTCAACGTGAAACGGAATGCAGGAGAGCTCATGATACTTAACCGTGGTGGTGATGGGGGTCTCCTCTGTAGCAGAAGGATCGATTAGTAAGTCGGCGGGTAATTATTAATCAGTATTAAATAAATTGAACGGTATACCTCTACTAAAGAACCAATGAAAAATTGAGGTTCTGAAAGACGAGAATGCACTGGCGTTATTATCTGGTGCACTCGCAACTTTACCTTTCTGGAGAAGATGCAGGGTCTCCGGTGTTGCTAGCTTCTAACTAGTGCGTCGGATCCGACCTCGCACCATGCTGAATTTTTGGTCAGTAGCTGTTACAAAAGAATCATGGAGATGAGCAGGGCAGATGACAGCTAGCTTCCACGACGTGGTTATAAATTTACCAGAGGCTGCTACTCGTATGCATACATACCTTTTGCTCATCAAAACAGCCAGAAATGCGCTCGAAAGATGATCCGCAAACACTTTTTGAACCCTCAGGTTATGTCTCCTCTGGCCTGCCTGGAGCAGCAGTGGCTGAGTTCTACGACGTTCATGTCGTGCTATACACAGTCAAGTATTAAAGATGATCCAATTTGACACCTATTCACAAAAGCAGATTATAGACCTGGAATATGACTGAAGTACAGTAGATTTCTCCCCCAGTTTGCGAAAATGAGTGCGAACTCTTCAATACTTCCGTACCTTGGGTTTGGTCCTTATGGGTGGTTATTTTTAACACTTGATGGGTAGAATGTGACGAGGTATGTTCCGTTTTATGATGGCGTATACAACTTTTTCTGCATAGCTCAAAGTTAACAATGTGCTGATACTGACCAGAACAATGGCCTCCATAACGAAGTGATCTGATGGTTGTAAGACTCATGGTATATCGTACGTAAATCTTCTTTTCGAGCATTGTAAAATAAAATATTTATTTTAGCCTGTATGTCAATTTTTATGTCACTCGTGGACTGTAGGACCAGAGCTATGTACTATGATACTTGAGAGTAGTATACGGCGTTTCGTTTCTTCTCTGACGATATGCACGCCCCACGTCGGGTTCCAAGGCAAACGTATCACGACATCCCGCCGCTGAGCTCACGATGTTGTCCAGATCAAAATAAATAAGTTGGATTTTGTTTTGAGAGCTTGGTTCGTCCGTCTACTTGAGCAAGGGTTTCAATAGCACCAGATCCATCTGGGTTTCGTAGGGATTGTATGATTTGAAAAGGTTGCGCAAAGGAAGCGATCAACTATCAGCCCATTTGCAGCGGGGCCGCCGTAGCTCTTTCGCTTAGATAAACCTTCATTAGGGTCGGCGACCTTCGTTCTATACTTAGAACCAGTACGAGTGTAGCGGATCGCAAACCGCTTACTCCAATAGTGACTTTGACCTTAGCTCAAGGCTAATTAGCTCTTCCGTTTAAAGTCTAAACTGTATTTCTGGATTTAACCTGCGGAATAGCAGCCTGTATTCAAATATATAGGTTTTCCTTTCTATATAGTAAAACATAATTAAATGTATAGCTACTGGCTGGTCCAGCCACGTACTGACTCATTGTTTAAGTGAAGCCACACTATTGTGCGGTCACACCATCTTGTGTGACACTATTATATTCCCCCCCATCAAGATTGTGAACACCTACAATTCACATTCAACTGTCGCCTCGAACGAGGCTCGCGTGCCTAAGACACCACAACATCACCGGGACCTTCTTTCATTTGTCTGCTCAATGAGCTCTGTGTCGAGGACGCGGAAGACACCTAGCCTCGATGGTTTCGAGATCGCCCGCGGACAGAGCCATTCGTCGTACCCTGCACACGGTGTAAATCCGGACAGTACGTCCGAGCTTCAAGAGAACGCAGCCCAAGCTCTTTGTGACCGAGTACCACGCAGCGTATTGTCAGCGACAAAGAACACAGACGCGATGTCCACTTCCGACCAAGCTCCGCGCCCGCCACGGGCAACGGGTTACCTCGTCGAGGAATTGTAGGTCGACTACGTGTCGGATACTACTTTCATAGGATGAGAAGAAGAGGAGGGCAAGGTGCATCAGCGGCGCGACGTGAGCCCTGCTCGAGCCTTGCGGGCGCCGTGTCCGTTCCCTGAGTTTTCGACTTCCGAGGAAGTGGTATCATTAGCAATCACATCGATGAGGCACAGAACCAGCAGCTGAATTCTACTCACAGGACGGCTCTCTTCCGCTCCTATCCACTGTTGGTCCTTAACCCTCGCGTCAAATTGACATCCGCTCGGCGGATCTCGCAGCAGACGCAAAGGACACGATCACTCGATCGCTGGGCGTCTTCGTGGTCGGGCCCCCGGCCACTATACAAGCTGATCTTGACGAAAGAAAAGCTTTCCTAGCTCGCTTCTTTGTTTCTCAAGAAATCCCAATGGATCCGTACCGCACTCGATTTCGTGCTCGAGGAGGAGGCGCTCCTGTATCCGCGATGCGGACGATTCCTGTGGTGCTTGCCCGTGGTGTAACCGCTGCAGACGACGATGAGCTCTATGAGCGATAGGTCCAGCAGCCCAGAAAACTTTCCTTGCAGCACAACTTACAGTTGAGCCACAAGGAGATAGACGCGCGTGTGGAACGCCATCTTCGATTTGAGTTTGCCAAACTCACGGCGCGTCGCTGTCTTCCTTAAGATTGTCGCCCTGCAACGTATGGGTTGATTTATCACGCTCCGCGAGCTCTGTGGTCTCTCACACGGGTGAGTCTGCGCCTACAGCAGCTCAGGGCAAAGCTTGAGCCCAGCTCATCGTCCTTTGGCATTCTTGGCTATTGCCGAGAAGCGCGGGGCGTATGATGACGCGAAACGCCATGATCTCTCTGATCATAAGCGTCCACGACGTCTCGGCAGTCTTGCCGATGAGGCACTTCAAGCTCACACGAGTTCTCAAAGTCGAGGTATACCTGTCACTTCCCTAGATACTGGGTTTGACCCTGGCGACGACGTCGACTTACAAGACGTTCCACGTGAAAGTGGACACCACCATTCTCATCGAGAAGAGTTGGCGGTGGACGACGACGAATGGGTCGAACGCCGTTTGGTGACTAAAGATGCTTTTCAAGCTCTTAAGGACGAGGTTAATGCCTTCGAGACTCAACTAGGCGTCATGCTGGGGTCACATACCGCTGCGCAGAAGACCTCGAGAGCTTGATGCACGTTGTGCACCGCTGCGTCACATTGAGGACTATCACGCTCTGTCGGAGCGGCTTCTAGCCGTTGAGCAGACGAATGCGTCGCTTCATGCGACGGTGGAGTGCTTGGCGCCGTTGGATATGGAGATCGTTGCGCTACGTTCTCAGAACCAGTTGCTGGTTTGGCTTCAAAGTGGTCAAGCGCCTGTGGGCGCCGCTCCGGCGCCAGCGCTTTGCGTTCACTTGCGCCGGATCCCGTCCGGTACGGCTTGAGCAAGCCCACATTAACCATCGGGTGGATGCGCATCCGTTCTGGAAGGTTTAGCGTACACACAAGGCCACGCTTGGCCACAACCTTGAGAAGTTCGATATACCGTAGACAGAGCTTCGTCTTATAGACAGCAGAAATTGCATGGGTAGGAATCTTTTTAGCATTTAATCAAGCCGGTCTCTGATCCTAAAGTTTCTTGCATTCAAACTACTTCTTTCGCTTGCATATTCCTTCTGCATGTCTTGGCTTTCAGTATCGCATCGCGAATGTGTCAAAAGACACTCAGTCTGGTAGACAGGAAGTCATCAACTTTTTTACGCACATTGAGATGGCTGACGTCAGCTAGCTGCTCGGCTATTCCCTCCCCTCCAAGCCATGAACGATGGGGTGGCGGCGTCAGCGGGACGCTAGATTGAACGAGCCCGTTCATGAAGAACGGGGTGTAGCCGGTAGATGAATGCACTGCATTGTTCGGAGTGAACTTAATAAGTGGCAGCATGGCGCTCCAACTCCTCGGAGTCTCAGCGCAGACGCTACAAGGAACATCTTTGACGACGCGATTCACGCGCTCAGTTTGACCACCGGTCTGCGGATGGTCCGCTGATGACATAGTCATTTTAGTGTTCAGCACCTTGAAAATCGTCGACCAAGACTTCCCAGTGAAGCGTGGGTCCCTGTCAAATACAACTGACTCCGGGAGCCCATGTTGTCGAGAGTAACGATCGACCAACAGCGTCGCTGTACCCACACCGTCCATAGTGTCCAGAACCGCCGAAAGATGAACCATCTTGCTCAAAAGGTCGACGAAGACCACGACACCCGTGGTGCCCGCCGATACCTCCGGTAGGCCAAACGCAAAGTTCAGACTCATGGACTGCCAACACTCGGGGACCAAGCAAACTGGTCGGCGGCGCTGCCGCATTTGGAGAGGGTTCCACCCTTTGAAACGTCTCACACGTGCTCATCAATTTGTACAGCTTGAGTAACCAGTAGTGGCAACTCACAGACCTGTAGGTATCTCCACGCCCAAAATGACCACTGAGGCAGGTGTTGTGGGCATCATAGAGGACACGGTATTTCAAATCCTCATCGTGTAGAGCCACAATTCGTGCCGTATCAATCGAAAAGGTGCTATAATACAATTCATTATTCAACGGACATCGGTGTAACTGTGCACGCTGTCGCGACAACTTCTTGTCCGAGTTCTTAAACTCCTTGCTCTGAAGAGCCTGTAGCAGCGCTACACACATACCGTCACCCGCGTATGCGGCGTAGATCAAATCCGTCACTGACAACGTCACCGTTGTGACATGAGCAAGCGCATAAACCGGTCTGCGCGAAAAGGCGTCAGCCAAAGCATTCTACTTTTCTGGCTTAAACCTCACCTCCAAGTTATTTTCTCCAAAGATGAAGAGCCACCTGGAAAGTTCTGCGAGAGGTGAGGCGACTGAGTCGCATTGCGTGGTGACGCATGATTTTTGTAGGTCACAAACGGCTTTGATCCATGCCGGTGCACGCTGTACTTTACAAGTGCATATTTCATCGCAAGTAATCCCTTGTCGTGGACTGGGTCGTTTTTCGCCGCAGCCTTAAGCTGGCGAG